GCTATCGAAATCGATAAGGTTGTTGTAGTTGTTATTGGTTGTTTTATCGGCGTTGTTGGTTTTTGGTTGATTTGGCTTATCGGCCCTTATCGGATTTCGATCCTGGCAGGCCAGGGGCTTAAGAACAAAAAGTCCTTTGGTTTCGACGGGATTCGAACCCGTGGTCCTGGCGGGACCGGCCTGGTGCAAAGCTACTGCACCACGAGGCCCAACAATTTAATTTTAATAAAAGCTTTTAAATAGCTTTTTTTTAAAGTTAAAAAATTAAAAGGAATAATAAGTTATTTTTTATAGCTTTACCTAAAACCGGGTAATAAAAAAGTAATAAAAGCCAAAAAAAAGGAAAAGCAAAAGGAAAGGAAAAAAGCCTTTCGCCGGGGCGATCCCGCTTTCCGTAACCCTTTTCCGAAAAAGAAAGGAAACGGTAATAATAACCAAAAAAATTAAAAAAAAATGGTGTTAAAAGCGTGTTAGCCCGTAAGTACTTTTTGTACGGGAATACTTTTATCCATTAACTAATAAGTAAAGGTTAAAAAAAAGGAAAATACAAAATGCATTGCTTTTAAAGGCTATTTTCGTTACAATTAAATGCCGTTTTGTTATTTAAAACCGGCATGCTTTATGCTTATTAATAAAAAAGGAATTTGCGTTATGTTTTTATGCAAACGTTATACGATTTTAATGTTTATTCCGTAATTTTTAGCTGCGTATTAAATTTGCTAACCCATTTTTAAAAAAATCGTGCAATTTTAAAATAGCTTTAAATGTTTTAAATTTGTAAAGCGAAAGGTTTTTAGTAAGCCCATTTATTGGTATAAAAGCGGTTTCGAAATATACCACGTCGAACGTTCCTTTTTGGTACTTTTGGCGTAGCCATATATTTATAATATTTACATATTTTAAAGCCGTATTAATGCGGGTGCCCTTTTCGATTATTAATCGGATCGTTTGTATGTTATTACAATAAAGCTTTTAAAAATATTAATTTTTAAATGCAAATTTCGGAAAAGCTTTTGCATAGCAATGGTTTTTTTTCCAAGGTTTATAAGCGCTAAAAGCTTTGCTTTTATAATAAACGTTGTAACGGTAGCTTATTTTTTGCTTTTTACGCTACGGGTTTTTTAAATAAAAACATAACGTATTTTCTAAATAATTTTTTCGTTTTTTTGTCGTTGGCGAAAAAGCGTTTAAAGCAAAAAACAGGTGGTCGAATTTTGGAACGTTCTTTAACTGAATGCAATAAAATTTAAACCCTTTTAAATATAAAAAGGTATGGTTTATCGCTTCCAAATGCTTTTTATTTAAGTTTGTAAGGTATTTAAAAAGTTTTGCGCTTGCAAAAGCAACGTTTGGGCAAATGGTAATGGCCGTATAAAGTATAAACCCAATTCTTTTTTGCATAATTAAAATTTCGGCGGGTATTGCTACCCCCAAATTTTTTTTAGCGTTTGGTTAAGCAAAAAAAAAGCGCTTTACGCTTTTATTTTCGAAATTAAAAGTATTAACGATTTTGTCGATATAACAGTTGTAATGCAAAGTTATTATTCGTATTTTTTTATTTTTTACGATTTAAATTTCGAATTGTTTTTTAAATGGTTCCTTTTTTATTTTGTACTTTTTTTTAAAACCGTTTAACATTTTTGCTGCCATTTTTAAATGCGTAGCACGGTTAAAAATAATTATATCGTTAACGTACAAAAGGAAAACACTTTACGTTTTGTGCTTATAAATAAATAAAGCTTTTCCGTTAATAAAGTAAGCTTTAGCTTTTTAAAGGTTTTTTCGAAAGCTAAATATTATAACTTCGGTAAATTCCGTAGCCCGTAAAAGGCTTTTTTAAGCCGGGCTACGTACTTTTTTTGGTAATACTTAAAAAAAACTTTACGTAAACGGGTATATGGTTATTGCCAATTTTTGCATAAAAAAAGCTTTGCTAACGTTAATTTGGTACGCTTTAAAATCGAAATAAGCTATAATTATTATTATAATTTTAAAGCTTTTAACTGCAAACGTAATTGCGTAAATCTTTTTTAAACCATTAAATTATTAATTACTTTTAATTACCGCGCGGAATTTATAATCCGTAACGTAACCGTTTTAATTAAATTTATAAATAAATACCCAAATAATATCGATAGCTTTACCACCAAACAAATTTTTTAAAATTTTTTCCCAAATTTTTTTTCCCAATAATTTATTAATTTTCCCAAAAGCAAATTATTTAAAAAAAATTTATGCAAATGTATATTAAAATTTTATTAAAAATTTAAAATTTATTATAATTCGTTTCGGTGCAACCGTTTATTTTTTTTAAAGGCTATTGCATTTTAATATTTTTGCTATAGCAATTACAATTATTTTGTAAACCGGGCAATAATTAAAATTACTTTTTTCGATTACCGTTTATTAATTAAACAAATACGTATCGAAAAAACCTTGCTAACTTTCGTTTATAAGGTTTGCTTTAAAAATAACGTTTTTAACTTCCTTTTTGGAAATGTTAAACGCTATCGTTAAACCGTATCAAAAAATGGCGTTGTTAAAGTTATTGCGCCGTTTGCTTTTCCTTTTTTTTTTTTGCTCCTTTTTTTCCTTTGCAATTGCACGGGTTACGGCGCGGATCGCTTTAAACGTAATTATTAACGAATTAAGTAAAAGCGCGTTGGAAAAAAAGGCTTTAAATAAAAGTAAAGGGTTTATCCCTTTGCGGGGTCGGCCTTTGCTTTTTTTAATTAAAGGAAAAAGGGAAAGCGGCGTTTTTTGTTCGTTTGGGTTTATTTCGGACAAACCTTTAAAAGGTTTAAACGCTTTTGGTATTGCAGCGGGTTGCGCCGCAAAGGTATTACTTATGGTTGTAATTAGCATATCCGGTCCTGGGGTAAGCAAGGACCGGTTTGTTGCTTTATAAAGTAAAGCAAGTTTTAACGGTTTTAAAGGCCGTTTTTCGGGCTCGTCGTTACTTTTACCCCCTACCGGTAAAAGGTTATCGTTTTTCCCAATCCGTATAAAGCCGCGATAAGGATTGCCCACGCGTAAAAAGCTTTTATTACGCATTTACTCCGCTTTATAACCGTTTTTTAAAGCATTTGGAATTAAAAACCTGTGCGCGTTTGGATTTAACCCGTCGATTGGATTTTTCGCGATTTTAACCTTTATAATTTTAATAAAACTTAGCTTTTTTACCCCCGGTTTTTAATTTTAATACTTAGTAGCAAAGGTAAGTGCTTAAAACTTTTTTTAATTAAAAAAGCCCTAACGCATTAGCAATTTCTTTTTGGTTTGCATATAATTTTTCCGTTTCGTTATGCTTAATTAGCAAATTGTAAGTTATTACGTTAATTGGATCCTTTTTCGTTTGCTTTTAAAAAAGCTTTTTTTATTAAATTTAACGTTTTTTGTAATTATTACTTTTTTTTTAACGAAACCCAAATCCGGTAAATATTAAAGGTGTGGTAACCAATTAAATATCCAATTCCAATACGAAAATTAACCTTAAAATGCTTAAAATTAGCATTATATAATTTTTTTACATTTAAAAAGTAAGCTTTGCACCCGTAAACGTAAATGCCGTTCCAATTTGGTTTTAAATTGGCCGTTAAGCCCGTAAAAAGCTCCGGGGCGTAATGCCGAAACCATTTTCGAACCCAATTTAAAAGGATATCGTTATAAGGGCGCATGCTTTTTAAAATTAAAGGGCTTATATTTTTTAGCCAAACGGCAGCGTAAATCGCTTCCGGGCAAAAATGTTTAAAAAGTTCCGCGCTTACAAGCATGCGTATTCCCCGCGTAATAACGTTTTGTTCCGCGCGCTCGATTATTTTATTAAATTCGTAAATGTATAACGGTAAAGTTTCGATAACGATATTTTTAATTTAAGCTTATTTTTCGTACTGGAAAAATCTTTTAATAAATATTAAGGATTTTTTTTAATCGTATTTAAACATAGCAATTTGCAATTCGTATTATTTTTTAACCTATGCTTTTTATTCCTTTAAAATCGTAATAATCGTTGGGCTTTTTTTATTTAAAAATGTAAAGCTTTAAATTTTGCCGTTGTATTTATCCAAAAGCAATAATATTTAGCTTTTTTTTAATTTCGATTTAAAGTAATTAAATAAGTTAAATTAAACTTTCCAAAAAGGGCGTAAAACCTTTTTTATTAAGCGCTTAAAAACAACGGCGGTAACGTAAGTCGTTGCGCACGCTTTACATTCGATGCGTTTAAATCCTTTAGTTTTAACGTTTCGAACGTTCCAAACGAAAATTTCCAGCGCTTGTAAGCTTAAATGCCCGTTACGCAAATACCAAAAATTTGCGAAATTTTTTTTCGATTTCGTAAAATTAAAAAATGGGCGTTATAAATGCGTAATACGCTTGCAACGGAAAAATTCGTTAATTGCAAAAGGTAATATTATATTACCGGGAAATAAATGTAACGTAATTAATACGGAATAAATAGCAACAAATTTATATTTAAAAAAATATTACGTTATTTTTGCGCTAAAAGCATTCAATTACTTTCCCGTCGGCAATTTCCTTAATGCGCAAAATTGCGTTTTTACCGCAAAATTATACCCTTTTGCCGTTTAAACGAGCTTTCGAAATGATATTAACGTAAAAGCCTTTTACTAAACCAACGTTATAAAGCTTAAAATCCCCGTTCCCGTTTAAAAAGCTAAAAGGCGTACAAATGCTTCGTTCCAAAATTGGAAAATATTAAATGCCGTATTAAATTGTTTTAATGCCGTTTAACGGGCGGAATGTTCCAAAGTTAAAACGATTTTTATCGTTAACGATATACAACGAACCGCAATTATCGAACAATATGCTTTTAAAATAAATGTTTTTTATAATGTTAAAAACCGAAAAAACACTTTTTAAAAAAGGCATTTTTAATACGGCTGCGTTTAAATCCCTTTTTTTTAAAAGCGCCGGATTCGAAGCTTAAAATGCTTTCGGCATTTTTTCCCCAAACGGAATTTTTAAATTTATTTTTAGTACAAAAAGCGCTTTTAAAGGTTTTCCAACGGTTTTTATCCAAAGTAATTTTAATTTGTTTGCATTTTTCGTTATTAAATTTGTTACGAAATCGGCCGGAATTGCCAGTAAAAGCGTAAATAAGCTTCCAACAATTCTTCGGCTTCTAAACGTAATTTTAAATGCAAGCTGGGCATTTACACGTTATTTTGTTATTTTGTTAAAAGCTTTTTGCTTTATTATTTTCTTTCCGGGTGCGCTTTTAAAAGTTAAAAACGCAAGCTTTTTTTTGTGCCCAAATTATCGATGCGATGTTAAAAAAGGATGGTCGAAAATTTGGTTACTAAAGTATCCATTTCCCCCGTAAAATTGCCCGTAGCTACTTTTTAACGTAACGCTTTGCTTACAAAAGATCGAAACGTTTTACGTACTTAAAAAAGTTAAGCATAAGCGTAAAGCTTTGCATTTTAAAAACGTTTTTAATTTTGGTTTGGGTAAAAATCGCTTAAAACTTTGGAAATTATTAATTAACGTTTATAATGCTAGCTATTTTTTAAACGTATTGTGGTACTTTTAAAAAATTATTTGGGTTTTTATTATCGAAATGGAAGCGTAAAGCGCTTTTAAATAAATAATAATGCTTTAAAAAGTTACGTAATTGTTAGCTTGCGCTTTTAATTGCGCGTTTGCAAGCGCAATAAAATTTACGGAAAAATTAATCCATTTAAAAAGCGTTGTAATTTTTTTCGAAACGGTTTTGCTTGCAGTATTTTTTGTTTTAAGCGCTTTTTTATGCTTAGCTTTAAAATTACTTTTGGTAAAAACAAAAAGGGCCCGGAAAAGTTCGGAATTAAATTTTTGCGTGGCTTTGCTTTTGCTTTGCCAAATTTTTAAGCAAGCTTTTTTTTCGGCTAAAAGGATCGTTTGTTAAACCAAACGCTTAAATTTATGGGTTTTAAGGTATTTAGCTTTAGCTTTTGCTACGAAAAAATCGAAATTTAAAGTTTTATTGGCTTGCACGTTATCCGGAAATTTTAATTTAAAATTAACCTGGTTCCAAATCCTTAAAATTAATGCGTTTTAACGGAACGCCGTAAATTACGTAAGCCATTGCTTTTGGTTTTTAAACAACGCTATTACGAAAAAATCTTCGTCCTTACCGCTTATAATTGGTAATAACCGGGGGCTTTTTAGTAAAGCCGGATTGGAAAAGGGCAAAGGGTTAAAAGCTTTAAAAGCGTGGAAACGTAAAAGTTAAAAAAGTGGAACTTAACAAAGGTATTTAGCAACGTTTGGAATTAACAACGAAATTTGCTTCGGCAAAAAAAAACTTTGTCGAAAAAGGGTTTAAAAGCGTAAAAATCTTTCCGTAAAAAAATCGCAGAAAGGAAAAGGAAAATAAACGCGTATGGAAAAGCGCGTTTAAAAACGATTTAATAAAGGTAATAAAAAAGGAATAAGTTCGTGCTATTAAACCTTTTACTTTGCAAAAAAGGGTTTAAAAGTTGCCGGGCTTATAATTGTTGCATGCAAAAGGTATAAGCACGGTGTAAAGCTATTCCGGTTAGATTGCTTTAAAGAAAAAAGGATTTAAGGTGCAAGGCTCCGTAAAAGCCTTTGCCTTTTATATACACGTAACTCCCGTGTTTTCCTTGCTTATTAAGCTTCCCTTTTAATGCCTGGAAGTGTTATACGCTTTTAGGAAGAGGGACCGCTTTTCCAATGCTTTAAGCATTTGCTATTTACGCTTAAAACAATTCCTTTACAGTATATGCCGTCTTCTTTGTAACAATCAATATTAAATAAATAATAAGCGGCGGATATAAAAAAATTAAACGAAATACAAACGAACCACTTTTTATTATTCCCGTAATTGTTAATAGCTACCGTTTTATTAACGTATAAATTAATTTTAATTATAATTATTACGTTATTATAAATAAAATCTTTGCAATAAAAATGCAAATAAAGCAATTGCGCTTTAATACGTTATAAATATTAAGGTTAATTTTAAAACGCATTAAAATGTTTATTAAATATATGGTTAAATGCTAAATAAATATTAACGGATAAATTTTAATAATAGCTTTTTATATTATATTTAATATGTTTAAAAATATAATTTTGGAATTGCCGTAAATAAAGTACAAAAGGGTAATGCTTAATTTATAAACGGGGAAATTCCGGATTGGGTTCGAAAAAGGCATGGTAATAAAGGATTTTTAATACCGGAAATGGAATAAAACCAAACCCATTTTAACTATTGCAAATTGGTTTACAATGGTTTATTAACGTTATTAATAATAACGAAACGAAAGCAATTTAAAATTTTGTGCAGCATTATTAATTTTTTGTTTATTAAAATTATAGCTTTTACCGCATTAATATTATTCCGCTTAAAAAAAGGGTACGGCATATTTAAATTATTAGTAAAAAAAGCAAATAACTAAGCCCTAAGGGGGGGGGGGGCACACTTCGCGTAAAATTAGCAAAATTTGCAAATTTATTTAATAAAAAAAAGCAACGGGCTTGCCATTTTACAAAGGCAATTTAAACCATTATATTAAATTAAAGCTGGATTTACAAAAACGCGCACCAAATTTTTTACGGTAAATTGTATAACATATTGCAAAACCAATTAATTAATTTAAAAAAATAAATTGTCGAATTTATGGATAAAGGTTAAGTACAAACAAACTTTTTACCAGCAATAGCATTAATGCTTATAATAAATAAACCGGAAAAAAAGTAACGTTTATGCGTAAATTACAAAGCTTTAAATAGCATTACTTAATATAATCGCTATTCTTTTTCCATTAATAAAAAAACATTACAAAACGTTGCTAAAACGCGTTGGTTTATAAAAATAAACGTGCAAATAGTTTTTTACAAAATAAAAATAATAAAAGGCCAATAACATTTAATAACGTTTGCAACCTGGTTTGGGTTATTTAAATAGCTTGTATATTTATTTAAATTTGTAAAAGCATTTGCAACGTTTTAAAAATATATTAATAAAGTATTAACAAACATTTTGAAAAGGTAAGTAATTGCATATTTAAATAACGTGTTAATATATATATATATATATATATATATATATATATATATATATAATACACTAAC